CCTCCCCTCCCTCCCCAACTCCCCTCCCTCCCCGCCATCCCTGATCCCCAATCCCCATCCCTCTCCTCCCCCTTCTCCTCCCCCCCTCCTCCTCCTCCTCCTCCTCCTCCTCCTCCTCCTCCTCCTCCTCCTCCTTTTCCTCCTCATCACCCGATCGCATGGACCAGTCGTTCTCGATCGGGCCAGCGCGCAACCCGCGACGGGCGCGTCTGCGAGGCCGCCGACCCCCACCCCCGTTGATTCTGGCAGTGGGCTCGCGGCAGGCCGCTGTTGTGGAGACGTCCGGGAGGCGGCGGAATTGGAGGAGGCTCGATCGGATAAACTCTGGGTGGGGGGGTCTCTGGGGGGGGGTCTCTGGGGGGGGCAGAGAACTGCCCCTCGGAGGTCTCTGGGGGGGGGGGTCTCTGGGGGGGGGTCTCTGTATAAACTTGATCTGATGGTCTCTGGGGGGTGGGGGGGGCAGAGAACTGCCCCATCGGGGGCCCGAATCGCGGTGCCTAGAGGTCTGGTACCCCCAACGCCGCGAAGTCGACTCCAGGACACGTCCCCGGGGCGCACTCCGAGCAGGACCTCGAAGCGGATCTGGGTAAGGGCCCTCCTCCCTCCCAGAGGCCAAAAACACGGTTGAAACGATGAAAACGTGCAGTCTTCCTCCGTCGTTCTGTGTCGACTCATGTCATACAAGGGCCAAGGTCGTCACCCGCACACCATTCACGTGTCCAGGACAAAGAAATCCGATCCAGAATCCGAACTCCCGGGCCATCAGCTCAGCGGAAAACGCGCAAGCATCTTCCTCCTCCTACTCCTCGTCATCCTCATCCTTCTCCTCCTCCACCTCCTCCACCTCCTCCAACTCATCCTCCCTCTCCTCCTCCTCCTCCTCCTCCTCCTCCTCCTCCTCCTCCTCCTCCTCCTCCTTCTCCTCCTCCTTCTCCTTCTCCTTGACCTCCTCCTGCACCGCTCCCGTAGCCAGTTTGGTTCAAGCCACAGTGGATGGAATCGGGCCGCTGCAGCGCCGCTCGGCCGTTCTCGTGGGGTTCAATGTGCGATAGTGCACTGTCCCCTGGCGCTTCAGGTCCTGGTGCTCCAGGAAACGCTGGGTTGAGTTCGTTGTCTTCCCTTCGTGTGCATGCTGCTACTGCGGCTCGCTTTCCTCGTGGTTCTCCTCGTGCACTCAGGGCGGCGCTTCTTGGTGAGTGGGCTGCTGGGCATGCAGGTGTTCGTCCTGACCATTGGCACCGGTAAGAAGTTCGAGGCTTTGTCGGTCGTCCTCAAGCGAGTCAGCATGTTGGCTCATGGCGTGGTTGTGCACAGTGGGGCTGTAAAAAGCCGCTCGGAGACGGCCCATGCCCTGTCTTCTTGATCACGGTTTGCTGCTACTGAAGTTCGTTAATGGTAGTTGGACGGTGTTGTCTGGCCGTGGGCTGTGGACCCCTTGGGCACGCGTAGGTTGCGGCTAGGCAGAGATGGTCTTGTACCTGGGCACATGTTCTTCGGCATCGCGGCTGGGTATTCAATGTGGTCGCTCGTGATGGCATTGACTGTCATCATGTGGATGTTATACTATTGGTCAGTGGTTACTGTTCGACGGCATGTTTTTCGAATTCTCGGAGTCAAATGCGCATCTGGTCGACATCGGCACGATGGTGTTCTTGATCCTGCTCTGAGTGTGCTTGCGCCCTGGCCCGACCAGGTCCCCGCTGCTCGCCCATCCCGAAATAATCCTGCTCCGTCCTCCTCGTGGGGCCACGAAACGTGTGAGGGATATGCCGAAGTGGGTGCGGCGGACGCACGCGGGCTGTGCCACTGGGTCCTTCGGTGGAGCCCCCTGTGGGACCACAAAACGTGTGAGGGGTGCCCGTCCTCCTCGTCCTCGTCGTCGTCATCAATCCTTCCGACCAGGGCCCCTGGAAGTGCCACCCCCCCGCCCCGAGCCCGGAGCCACGGTGCCCCCCGAGGACCCAGGAGCAGTAGGATCAATGTCGACGACGACAGCGTCGACGACGAGAACCGAGGACCGAGGATCGAGGACGATAGCGACGACGAGGAGGACAAGGATGACGACGACGACGACGACGACGACGACGACGACGACGACGACAACGACGACGACAACGAGCACGAGGACGAGGGCGAAGACAATGACGAAGACACAGACGACGACGACGACGACGACGACGACGACGACGACGACGACGACGACGACGACGACGACGACGACGACGACGGCGACAACGGCGACGACGACTGGACTTGTCTGGTGCTCTGCTGTCGCGGAGCTCGTCGGTACTGTCACTGCCAGTAGGCTTCATTCTGGCAGCAGAAACGGCGGCAGCGAAACAAGGCGCCTGGCCGCCCTGGGCGACGACGACGACCACCACCACCACCACCACGATCGAACCCGAAAGGAACGGACGGCGCGTGCGACCGCCCAGCTGGGGTGTGGGCGGCGCGCGCGGCGTGGTCCTCGGACCTGCCAGGGGACCTGCACCACTGGCGGGGGCATGGCAGTCTGTTGCGCCGTCCTCTTCCAGACTCCACCTCCTCCTCATCATCACCACCACCACCTCCGTCGTCGTCGTCGTCGCCGTCATCATCGTCATGATCATCATCATCACCATCAGCAGCAGCATCATCATCAGTATCATCATCATCGTCATCATCATCATCACCACTAGCATCATCATAATCATCATCGTCATCAGCATCATCGTCGTCGTCATCACCGTAATCATCATATCAACATCATCATCATCATCATCATCATCATCAGCAGCAGCAGCAGCAGCAGCATCGTCATCATCATCATCAGCATCATCATCACTATCATCATCATCACCACCACCACCAGCATCACCATCATAATCAGCATCATCGACATCAGCATCATCATCAGCATAAGTATCTTCAGCAGCATCGTCCTGATCGTCGTCGTCACCATCGTCACCATCAAAAAATGATCAACAACGTAATCATCGACATCTTCATCATCACCATCATCAGCAGCATCATCATCATCACATCATCAGCATCATCATCAGCATCACCATCAGCGTCAGTATCGTCATCATCGCCATCACCATCACCATCACGATCGCCATCACCATAACCAGCATCATCAACGGCAGCAGCATCATCAAAATCGTCATCATCGTCATCAGCATCATCATCGTCGCCATGATCATCAGCATCATCAGCATCATCAGCATCATCATCATCAGCAGCACCGTCCTACTCAGCATCATGATCATGATTACCATCAACAACATCATCATCAGCAGCAGCAACATCATCAGCACTATCATCATCAGCACCAGCATCATCATCAGCATCATCAACATCATCATCAGCATCATCATTATCAGCATCAGCAGCACTAGCATCATCAGTATCAGCATCGTCATCAGCATCATCATCATCATCCTCATCAATACCAGCATCAGCAGTATCATCACCATCGTCGTCCTCATCAGCATCGTCATCATCATCATCATCATCATCAGCATCAGCATCAGCATCAGCATCAACATCAGCATCAGTATCATCATCAGCATCATCATCAGCATGAACATCATCATCATTGTCGTCATCATTATCATGATCATCATCGCCCAACTCCCCCTCTTCCTCCTCATTCTCCTCCAGCTCCTCCAACCACCCACCATCCTTCTCCATCCTCATCCATCCTCCACCCTCCTCCTTCATCCTCCTCCCTTCTCCCTCATCCCTCCTCCCTTTGTTTCCTCTTGCCTCCCCGAGATGTTCGTCGATCCTGGGGCCTTTTTCACCGGGGGGCATCGGTGCAGGGGGCCGTTATGGCCTGGATGATTCTTGGGCAAGCGGGCGCTTGCTGTGTGAGGCTACCGGTTCTTGTCCCGAATATCGGTGTGATCCTATCCTCACGGGTGCAATTCCAACCGAGACCCAGTCTAGTCCACTTGCTGAAGTCTTGCTCTTCCTATGCGACTCCCTTACACCATTGCTGGTGGTGTTGCTAACTCTGACTAGTTACCATTGGTTAGGGGCATCAAGAAGGATACGTCCTTCATTGCCCCGACCTGCCCCGTGCTGGACTTGTGGATCCAGATCTGGAACCTCTTGGACTCGCGTGAAGGTCGTTTGGAGCTTCTGTGAGCCAAAGCTCACTCTTCGGCGGCTGCACGTGACCCCTGAGCAGTTCTGAGGCCGGTCTTCTTTCGGAACCGCTGTGATGACTTTGTGCTGGAGGGCCGCCGCCACAGCAGAGATTCCCCAGGAGCACGCTGCTGCGACCCGAGAAGCTGACGAGACGACCGAAATGTTCCTCCGTAGCATCTTTGACCTGGAAGCGTGAGGCGTCTTTGAGGGGTCTTTGACCTCTCAAGGCGTGAGGCGTAGCATCTAGACCTGGAAGCATCTTTGACCTGGAAGCGTCTTTGAGGCGTCTTTGAGGGGTCTTTGACCTGGAAGCATCTTTGACCTGGAAGCGTGAGGCGTAGCATCTTTGACCTGGAACCGTGAAGCGTAGTTCCTTCCCAGTGAATCGTGAGGCGTCTTTGACCTGGAAGCGCCGTGCGGAAGAGGGTAGGGCGTCCTCCTCGGCCCAGGGCCCTGCCATGCCATGCCAAAAGGAAGCAGCGGCGTGACGCCGTAGGCCACTGTGTGAAGATAAGTGGAACCAGGTATGCGTACAGGGCGGTTTTTAATACATGGGATTTCTAGAAACATTGGATGTTTAATACATGATTAATTTATTAATAAATTAATGCATAAACTTATCCTTGCATGGATTAATCAACTCTTTATTTTTTGATACATGGTCCGCACGCGGAGCGTGTATTAAAAACGGCAGTGTGCGTTCTGCGCCGCTGATTTGTGGAGGCAACGCGTGGCAAGGTCTCCGAACTATTCCCCGGTCGCTGCTCGGGATATGCGTGGTAGGACTCCTGGCCGGGCGCGAAGCTGTGGTCGCGACATCCGGGGGCTCCGCGCGCGCACTCGCCACACGACCCTGATGTCTTGCGCGGCGCCCCATGCTGTCGCGTCTGCGGGGGACTCCTGATTCAGAACTCCCTGGTCCTTGCCTACAGTGGAAACGTGTAGTAAGGACGCGTGGCAAGGACGCAAGACCCTTGGAGGCCGAAGTTGAAGTATTCTGGGCGGCAGGCGGCCAAACCCCCAGGGAACCTGAGAAACTGGCCTGCGAAAATTGCTAGGGACGGGCCACAGAGGCTGAGGCAGGCAAGGACCCAAGGGTACCCTTGAAAAAGTCGTTTGTCCTTACTATGCGCGTTGACTGTAGGCTTGCCCACCAAATGGCAAGCCCACAAAGGCAGCCGCCAGTGTTCTATCTCGCCTTAGACGGCCCCCCCGCCAAAGAATGTCACGAATTTTCCTGAGAGCAGTGATGGCGTTATTTGTTTAAAGTGCTACGTGCCGTTTCTATTTTTCGTTGTAACACCCCCTCCTGAGTAGAGGGTGCCCCTTGGCCCCATTCATCTGAAAAGCCCTCTTGTCAGCATTGTCCGCGGATCTGGCCAGGCATTGCCTGCTCACGGCTGGCTACTTGACGCGCAGCTCGGCTTGCCAAATGTGCCTCTCCACTCTAACACGTGATGCACGACAGCGTGCGGGTTTTTACCAGGGGCGGGACTTGCGCGGCGCTGCTGGCCCCTCAGGAGGGACTCGGTAGCCTGTTCAGCAAAGCTTACTCTCGGCTGTGAGAACTGGTTTTCGCCTGCGTACAGCCTGGCATTGTCCAGCGTTCTTGCCGACATTGTCCACGGCCGTTTCTTTCAGTCTGTCGCAACGACGACGTTACAGTTGCATGCGCTGTGGATGAGAAGCGGGAAGCGCCCTCGTTTGACGAGGTTCCCTCCGATTGCCCAGTCCAACTCCTCCTTCCCCTTCTCTTCCTCCTCTCCTTCCTCCTCTTCCTCCTCTCCTCTCCTCTTCCTCCTCTTCCTCCTCTCCTCTTCCTCCTCTTCCTCCTCCCCTCATCTCCTCTCCTCTTCCTCCTCTTCCTCCTCCTCCCCTCCTCTTCCTCCTCTCCTCTTCCTCCTCTCCTCCTTCCTCCACTTCCTCCCTTCCTCCTCTCCTTCCTCCTCCTCTTCCTCCTCTCCTTCCTCCATCCCTTTTCCTCACAGATGACTCAGCCCTGTCGCCTCCCGGATGTGTCGGGAGGCGGGCCCGGCGTTTCGCCCAAGACTTCCTTCTGAGCTATCTTGAGCGGAGCTACCTAGCGACCGCCAAGAAGCTCACTCAGCTCGGTGGATTCCTGCGGCATGCGTCTGCCGAAGGTGCCTTCGAAGGCCTTCCAAAAAGAAGCGAGCACGGCCCCAAGACGGCCCCAGGATGGGCCCAAGAAAGGGAACGCGAGCCGAAAATCCAACCCTTCCGCCCCCCCAAAAAAACAGGAGGCCCCAACAGGCGCTTAAGAGGCCCTCGAAATGCCCCCAAGAGGCCCCCAAGAGGCCCCAAGAGGCCCCAAGAGGCCCCAAGAGGCCCCCAAGAAGCCCAGGAGGCCCCAAGAGGCCCCAAAACGGCCCCCAAGAGGCCTCCAAACTGCCTCCAAGAGGCCCCCAAGAGGCCTCCCACGAGATCCCAACGAACATCGAATAGGCTTCATACGCACAACCCAGGCACGGTGGAGGGATGGGCCGGATGTCATTAGAGACAATGGCAGAGCAGCTGGCGGAGACAGAGAGAGAGAGAGAGAGTGAGACGGTGATGGAGAGATAAAGAAAGAGAGAATACATAAATATATATATATATATATATATAGATACACGAGTGTGGACCCGTGGATTATATACACGGAACTGCATGAGTCGAGGTTTGCCAACGCGCGCTTCTGTCTCCGGCGCGTAAATGCCAGCAAGCTGCGGTGCGCGATCGACAACCGACGTGGAATCGATGATTTTCGCCTCTTGAACCCTCTTGGGGGTCCTCCTGGGGCTCTATTGGGCCGCGTGAGGCCCTCTGGGGCCGTCATGACAACATCTCGGGCCGTTTGGGGTTCCTCATGGGCTGGATCGGGGCCCTTTTGGCCTGTCTTGGGGGGCTCTTGGGTGCTTGTTGGGCCGCCTTGGGGGCATCATGGGGGTCTATTGGGCCGTCTTGGGGGCCGCTTGGGCCCCCCTTGGGCCCCTCTGGGGCTGTCTTGGGCCTTTCTTGGGTTCATCTTGGGCCGTCTGGGGGCGATCCTGGAGGCCCCTTGGGCCGTCTCGAGAGCGCGAAGATCTCAGAATCCGTAGGAAATCCATGGAAAATCTACGATTTCGGCCTCCTGGGGCCCTCTAGGGTGTCCCCTCGGAGCCGTCCTGGGGCGTCTTGGTGGCCTACGAGGCCGTCTGGGGAGCATCTAAGGCCGCCTGGGGGCGGTGTTCGGCCATCTCGGGGCTGTCTCTGGTCAGGCCTCTTTGGGCCGTCTCGGGGCTCATTTGGAGAGCTCCGAAGCCGTTTCGGAGCCCTCCCGGGCGCCCTCCGGTGCCGTCTCGGGCTCTC